CATGGTGGAAGTTGTTGTGGCATTCGCATAGGCCATGCAACCCGGTTGGGCAGACGCTACCAATGTTTTATGAATTAACCCAGCCATCCAAGGCTTCAATTTTTCAGAATGGTGTGCAAGTATCACTGACATTGTCCATTGCCCAAACTGGAGTCAAATGCAACAAGAAGCACACTGAATTTCTGATTCTAACAGAAACTGTTGATGAATTTCAAAAATCAGTTTACTTTTGAGTCAGATCTTTTCTTGTTTCTATGTCAGACTGTGAGATATCTGTCGCACCAGTACAATGGAGGTGAATAGGATTTAGTTGTGTGCTGATTGCACTGAAAAATGCAATTAAAACATTTCAACAGAACGTGTCTGCGAGTAAAGTCCCCACACCTACATTGTATTAGGCTGGAGGCAGATATTCTGACACACATTTCAAAACCTGTACAAATAAAACTAAAGCTATCTGCTTTTGTAACTTGGCTCAACCTGTAAGAGTTCAAATGTTCAAGCTGGTGTTGCATTATAACAATATCATTTCAATTTACAGGTGACTTGATTACATAGACTTTTTCACACACACACAGGTGAGGTCAATTCTACTATAATAGCTGTATGAAAAAGTTTGGACAAATCACGATTCTGTTTGATCTCTGAGAGAAAAAAAAAATATGTAAAAAAAAAAAAAAAAAAAAGAAGAAAAAAAAGAGGGAAGAATGGATTCTAATGAAGTTCAATCAGGAAGAACTACTTCTACATCTCATCTCATTCACACTTCCCTCTCTCTCCGCTACCCATAATCAGCTGACCATGAGCATTATCAGTCACTATCATAATTTGCCACAATCCAATCATCCAATCATATCATTTCTGTCAAACTTTAAATTGTTCTCTATTCTGCTGTCAGCTGTCATTTCAGATGGTTGCTTCAACCTTCCTTCTCCTATCACTGCCAGCTTCACCTCCAGCATCCTGCATGAGTCATCTGAATCCATCCTCATCATTTTTCTGGTTTCATCATTTCATTCTTCGACCACAGTTGTATAGGCCGCGGGGATTTCCTATATTTGCACAGCATCTCTTCCCGCCTCCAATACGAGTACATCACATCGGGGTCTAATTGCAAAGACACTCACATTTCACTTTCCTTGTTTTATACACGGCATTACAGAGCTTTGCTCACTCAAAAATTCCGAGTCCCATAGTAACATTCTGACAGGACAGAGAAGCAGCTACAGCTGCTGGCAACGTCTCATCTCACCGGCTGCAGAACAGAGAGGTTTCAGGAGATCCTTTTTGTTCCCACTGCCATCAGGTCTATACAACATCAGCAAAGGAAGTGGACGTATTAATTTTTATTGTTTATTATTCATTATTAACTTTTATTATTATTATCAATATAACTAAACTAGAGCTAAATACTCAACAAAATCTAGATGCAAATGTCTGCAGCATGTTCAGAAGGTGAAAGTGAAAAGAGGCTCGGACTCTACAACAGCACAATGATCCAAAGTAGACCTCAAAGTCCCCACTTCAAGAAACACACAGCCCAACAACAGCCCCACTTGACATGAACATTACCGAAAATCTTTTGGAATAGGCAAGACAGCCTAAAATGTCAACAGCAATTCCTAATGACAATTCTTGACCTGCCGTACAAGACCTAACAAGTTAATTAAGACCTAACAAGTTAATTAATACCAATGAGTTATGAGTTCTAGTGTTTTAACATGTATGGAGCCCAAACCTCTGCTATAATTGCGGTTTGTTTTTCAAGTTCATGAAATAAAACCTAATGTAATGTTGAATAAATGTCACATTAACATTTAAAGAAAAGCTCATGTATAATGTCTGTTTGCTGCAGGGGTTGTATTTATTTATTTTTACTTAAAGAAACTCACATTAAAAGCTGTATTTCCACTTCATTACAAGTAAAATCACTGTGTGTAATATAGTTTACAAATGAATGTAATAAATAAAAAAAACAAATGCAATGTGACATACCAATAACAAATTCATGAAAAAAAACAATACGCATCCATAGTCAGTCACAAGAGTCTCCGTCCACTCCATCGACATAAAAACATACAGTATAGACACATGTATAGACACACATACAGAATGATAATATCAAACAGAAAAGACATGGCTGCAGACATGTTTGACAACAAACACTTCTTTTGTTGCTTTTCTCTGTTTTAAATGTCACTATAATTCTATTTGGATTTTTTGAATGTTGCCAGATACAAAGCAGAAATTGAAGATGCCACCTTGTGATTGACATTTTTCATCATTTTCTGAAGGTCATATACTAAAAGAATAATCAAATAATTGAAAAAATAATCAACAAATAAAGTGATAGTGAAAATAATCATTTTTGCAACGTAACAACAACTCATCTGGAATGAAATAAATCAATTTTCTGATTTATCACAATTTTTTAATTCAGATCCAATATTCATTCTTAAATTCCTGAAACCAATCTCTTTGCATTTGGACTTTTTCTCATTAAACATGTATGCCCATACAAATCTGCTCTAAATGTTCTGCATGTGCAGCGGTTTGTGTTGTTAGTGGTTCAGTTAGCTTTACACAATTTTAAATTAAAGGTTGTTTCCTTTAGTGTTGCTCACTTTAAGCTGCCAGGATGAATTCAAGAAGTGTTTTATGCAACACTGATATTTAACTGATGTAACTATGAGAACTCAGTGTATTTCATTGTTGTTTTTTTCAAAGACAGACTGGGCTCTGCTGCTAATCCTACATTAAACTTTTCTAGCAGAAAGTTCACATTTACTGTTATTCTGAGATGAGGTGGATGGAGGCGGATACCTGAGGGGAGACACTCCTCCGGGCCTTTTTGGGGAACTCTCCAGCTGATGAACCCTTAAAGCTGGAGCTCCTTCCACTCCCTTTCTTTACTGGCCAGCTGGGCGTCCAGGCTCAGTTCACTGTCCCCATCTGACTGCATGGTGGGACTGGGATATACCTATGAACCACAATACAGGTCAGCATGCATTGAAATGCACAGTAGTCATGCGTTAGCTTTATTTTCTGTAGCAATGTTTGCATTATGGACCGACGACACCCCCAGAAAATGATGTTTTTCTGTCTGTTGTACAAGGTACAAGTCTGTGAACATAAACATTTATGAAGTTAACAGTGATATCCAAAGGTGTTTTTCAGTGAAGATCATCAGTCAGTTAGCATATATATTTGTTCATATGTACTGCTAACAGCACTTTTTCAGAGAGCCTAAGTGAAACCAGAACATCTGGATTCTGTTCCAAAGTTAATAAGTAACAAAACCTCCCCCAAAATCGACATTTGTAGCAATGCTAGTAGTTCAAAACACAGTGTTTTCTCTACAGTAAGTCTTGTAGATTGCTTGTTTTATGGATATGGATGCCGTACTTGTAGTTTTCTTCATGGGAGCTGTAGATTTTTCTGTTCTCACAAAGTAATTGCTGCTAAACTTGTCAAGGTTTCAATTTTCTGTAGCAGCTGCTGTGTTGGATGTTGATTTGTCTCAGAATATGAAAAGTAAACCCCAGGAAGATGCTCCAAAGACAGAGAAAAGAAATGCTAAATGAGAGACTGCATTGAGTGACAGAAGCTAATGGAACAGAGGCTAACACAGATGTGATGTTGTGGCTTTGGCTCTCTAATGTTGAGACAGGAAATCACAAATGGCTGTAGATTGGATGATTCATGCTGAAAAGCACTTTGGGAGTCGTAATTAACCACAGTCAACTTTTTTTTTTTAATCAAAGAACCAGATATGCTCTAATGTAGCTGTTAATCTTATGAAGTAATAATTGACCCAGTCTCATGGTGATCCAGGCCACAGAAGTGCTTCACGTGAGAGTCATACAACACTGTCTATGGGAAGAATGAACAGGACTTTTACTTGCAGATCCAAGGAGACCCAAAACAGCTCCTTCTACTTGACAACTCTATAAAGACAAAGGCCTTGAAACATCCCTCAATACACCCATGACCAGTCAGCTAATCTGTGGAGTTTACTTGTAACTGTCAACTGTATAGTGTCAGTGAATTGGCTTTGGTTCTGTTAAATCAGAGATGAGAACTGTTCTGCTTTCTTTTCTGTTTTGTTTTGGTGTTGGTGTGTTTTATTGTTTTATTGTCTAAAATGTTTTGTTGTACATAAAATGTTTTGCTGTTGTGTTTTGTAGAATGTTGTGGTTTTTATTTTCTTATGTTGTCTGAAATGCTGCTGTTTTCTGTTTTGTCGCTTCATTTTTGAAAAAAATGCTGTTTTGTTAGTTATGCTTATGCTATGAAAATATAGACATGTTATAAGAAAGAAAATAAACAAAGAATTGAAGAATCCATACACACTTAGACAGACCCTTCAGCTACTTTACACCTGAGTTTTTGTATTGAAATACTGCAGCCTTTCAACAACTAGCTGTATCTGTATGTTTAGTTATTAATAATCCCTATATGTAAACAAGAGTCTCCCAAATCCCATCTGATAACTTGAAATTTAAATCATGTATCTCTGAGATGACATGTATCTAAAGCAGGGATGACGGCAGCAGCAAATTGTGATATTAAACATCTAGACTAGTGACGTAGAATATGACATTGTTATTATGAAATATAAATAAAACTGTATTAACTGCTAGCCAGTAGAGAAATGTATGACAATACAGTTAATTAATAGGTTTTCAATACAATATGAAAGATACATATACAACACACACGCGCGTACACACACACATATACAAGCACACAACACACGCACACACAGAGTTAGCCTACCATGACACAGTAGCTTTAGCTTTTGTAGCAGAGTCCACAGGTAAACTTCGCATCGTTTGAGCCTTTTAAATCTTCATCCTTCACAGTCAACACGACGTGTAGCGATCAAACAAATCACTGGTTAACAGTTAACTAATAATATCATTACATAAACACTTAACACACACATAAACACTCAATAAACACGAGCTAAAGTCGACGTTAACTAAACTAGCTAACTAAAACTTGTCTCCTTCTACTTTGATGCCAATGTGTTTCCAAGGAAACCGTACGTCTGTCAAGTGTCCCCCTGCTACGGTGACGGGAAGGGACAATGGTTCCTGGTCCGACTGCACTAAAATAATTTTTTTAATGGTTTTTAATTCAGCACTTTCTACTTGGTTCTATTTTTTCTATGGTCACAATTAAATGTAATATGGTGGGTGGTGCGCATAAAGAGAGCCGGTAAACAAACACTTTATATTGTTTGAGGTGGCCAGTACACCACTGGCTGTCATAAATCATAATCTGCCATATCCTGATGTTAATGTTACATTACTTGTATTTATGTTACTATCATTACTCTTCACTCTACTGAGCACGTGTTTGTATTTTATGCATATTTGAATGTTTTCCAATAAACGCTGGGAAGAAAAAAATAAAAATGAAAATAAAATCACGGATTTCTCCAAAAGACATTGACGTTACATCAGAAGTTACATCAGCTAACCAAGACCAGTAACACATACCTTAACCTAATAAAGTAATTAAGTTAGTGTATCAGTCGCCTCATATTGCTTATTTTGTTTCTTCTGAGATTGTGTAAGTAAGTATTTCACCTGCTTTAGGAGTTTTGCTACCAAACGCAGGTGGTGAAATGCAGACACAGTAGACAGTGGCAGAGGTAGGGTGTGTGCGCTTGTGAGGGCGGAGTTCTGGAGAACCACAACCGGAGTTTCCTCTGTGCGCGCCGCCGTATAATAAGACAGTTACGGAAACGCGCTCACACGGTCCATTCAGAAGCGCTTCTGAGAAGAGCGACAGCATCTCAACAGGTATAGTGTGATTAGTTTTTATTTTATTATAATCATTATTATTTTAACCAGTGGTATTGGAATACATTTCTTTATATCTATTTCCTTATTTCTTATGATTTAGCCTGTTGTGCGTCAGAGTAACAGGTAGACACGGCAGGCGAGTAAAGCTGTAGAGGGATGTAAATTAACATTATGACAATAGTGTTAGAGAAGCTCAGCGCCCCGGATGTTATTGTGATGTTGCCAATAAGAGGACTTTTTCAGATCAGGCATCTAGTCTGCGGGGATGCACATGAGACCTACGCCTCGGTCCTCACGTAGGCCACCGGGGTTTTGTCCGCACGCACCGTTGATCCACATCTGCCTGATTTAGCAGCAAAGGAGCGAGAGGCTTCTTTATCCAGAGAGGACGGGATGCGAGTAAAACAGGCAGCGAACTCACTGACTTGTGCTCAGCTGGAGCTTAAAACATAGACACATTCTGTAGAATAAAAAGATATGAAGTGATATAAGTGGATTGTTAAACGATAAAATAGTCTGTTGTCATCCATCTAACCATCTCACAGGACGACGAACACGACATTTCAGTCGTTTCCTGATTCTCTGTGTGATGCAATGAAGCTCCTGAAAGTTTGCTGTAGTAGATATGACGCAGAAGTAGCGTCGGGACTGCCTACGTGCGCTCGGCTGCATCCCTGAAAGGCGGATGATGATGTCACGACCGTGAAAGTCATCATTTCCCCGAAGTTACTAAACCTAGAAAATTCAAGTTTATTCATCAAGACAAATAAAGTCTTCCGGTATTACAGCTCTATGATGCTGTTTGATCAGTGGCTGATTCTCCTGATGTGGATCTGAGGATGTGCTGTGAAAAATGTGGAGTCAGATAGTTAGATCTTTGAAACACACACAACTAATCTTAGTGTCAATAGGATACTGTTCATGTATCACTGATACTGTTTCTGTATGGAACTATAGACACGTACAGCAACATTACATCCTGATCTGAACTGTGTATTTAGGACTCACAGTCACACTCAGAATCAGACTAGGAATTTCTTCTGGTGCAGGTCTCAGAACAGCAAAAAGAAGTAAGATAGTAAAAATAAACACTTAACTATAACGTGACCCCTTTCACATTGTTTCCACCTTGTTATGATACATTATTATTGTGCAAATATTGATTATAGCTGCTTTAAGCCTTTTTATTCCTCAGTGCCAGCCAAGGCTGTTCTCATGAGCACAATATCTCAGGAACACTTTGAGGGAATTCTTTCAAATTTGGAACAATAGTTCACTTGAACTCAAGGATGAATTGGTTAGAATTTGGTGGTCAAAGGTCAAGGTCACTTCGACCTCAGGAAACACTTTTTTCGGCCTTAACTCAAGACCTTATATGCTAATTGTGACAAAATTTCACACAAATGTCTATTAGGATAAAATAATGAAGTGATGATATTTTATATCCAGAAGGTCAAAGGTCAACTTCACTGTGACATCATAATGTTCTGAAAAGAAATGCAGTATCTTTTATTAAGTTCTTTAAAAGTATTCAGAACATATTGTTAATATGTGGACAGACATGGATGTAAACTGCAACCTCATTGGTCGTTGGAGGCAAACAACTATGAGGTGGTAATTCTAGTCCTTAAAGCAGTTATAATCAATATTCTGTATCAAATGACGAGGTGAACGGTGTCACTCATAGTGATAAACCAGGTGAGAATTATCAGCTGAATATGCAGCTCCCCCCACCTGAGTTTCAGCTCATTGTTTAGTCGTCGGTTTTGGTTCACGCTCACAGCATCCTCTTTGTTCTTACAGCACCAAACAGCACCAACCAGCAGACAGACACAGTTACACCCCATCCAAAACAGCTGGTCTGTCTGAATGAGTCAACCTGCGTCAGCCAAACCTTCATGACCCTTCTCTAAACCAGGGTTGAACACGAGTCAGCCGCTGAACTGACATTGCTACCATGAACAGAATTGAATTAACTGATCTCAACCTTAACCCACCCACTGACAGAGAGAGACAGAGAGCACATGCAAGGGCGTAAACTGAAACTGAACTGCATGTAATTCAGTGTAATTCTCCGATTAATCAGTGAAAACTACATTGAAGGCTGGAGTCAGAATTGGTCTAACGTGGGCTGAATGTGTATTGAGTTGACCTGTATCATATGTGGGTCTGATGTCTGAAGGTTTTATTATTAGAGACTAATTGCTGAACCAGATATCTCCCTCAGGAGTTGGTTGAGACCAAAAACAGAGGTAAAAGAGGGAATACTGAACTTACTTTCACCAGGTTGACACAAGCTGCTGCTGCTGCTGCTGCTGCTGCTGCTGCTGTGCTTACTGCAGATATGTAAATAGGAAACTTTTTACTTGCAAGTTTGGCAAATTGGCTTAAAAAGGATGAAATGTCAATGTTGTGGTCACAGCTTTTTTGCTTTTTTCCACTGATCTCCAAGCAGAAAAAATGCTTACTGCAGGAGTGGAGGGCATGTACATGTTTAGCCTTCAGGGGCTGGTTCTGGCTTTCTCTTGTTGTTTCAGAGAAATTTGGATTTTTATAAAGTATTAGACCCCCCCCCCCCCCACACACTTTGAGCTCAGCTCCCGATAGTAGAATCACTGTCTCTCTCTTACACATACACAATGAAGGACAACATCCAAGTGCCTTTCATCTGCATATCAGTGGTGAGAAATGATCCCTGTGTGGTGGCCTGTGTGTGTGCTGTGTGGTATGTAAGGGTCTTATTTTAGTATGGGTGGTGATACTTGGGGCTGCTGCAGAATGTTACATAGTTCAGACTGAGGTCATGGAAGGCGCGGATGATGTGGGCGGGCTTATGGGAGGGGGAATCGAGGGGAGGTGCCACACTGATGTCCCTGAGTGTCTGTGTACATGCACTTGCTGTATGTTTGTATAGCGGCTCCTGCAGTTCGGTTGTGTATGCCAGTCAACAGTTAGCAGCCTGAAAGCTGATGAGGGCTCTTACGCTTGTCACCCGTGATTCCTACTGGCTGTTATGGTGGCTGCACAGTGGGGTGCAGTGGGTGTGAACTTCTCATGTGTTGATACCCCCTCAGCGAAGCCTCTCATTGAGTAAGAGGTAAGAAGAAGGTGCCTATGTGTCTGAGGCCTCTGATGCCACTGCAGAGGGAACTGCAAGACAAAGGGGTTTAAAAATCACCTTTTGAAAACAATAAAATTCAATCAGAATCTGTTAAATATGCTTTCATTTAAACTGTATTTGCACACATGACACAGAATTGTTATCTCTAGAAGTCATTTGATATCCATCATTTATGAGGACATTGTTACACAGTAAAAAGGTGACAGAATAAAGGGCTTGTGTGCAAACCTCCAGGTGGAGCAGCTTGAACTAAAGGTGACCTTTTTTTTTACTGGAACCAGAATTAGGCAATGGCAGCAAAGCAATACTGACAGTGTAGTAGAAGGAAAGTGGCTGGTACCGTGTATCCTGTATGTTGGGCTAATTGAGTGATGAAATGACAGGTGCAGGGGCCGTATAACAGAATCGTCCTAACTTGCAGATCTTAACTGTTTGGTAACCATGGTAATCAGGGTTAGGACCTGGTTCAGGAAAAAAAGATGTTACAGATTAGTAGTTCCTAAATCTATGTTCCTGTACTAACTGAAGACAGGGAAAGTGTAATACATGAGCTTCCTTAATTCCCAACATCTTAAAGGTCCATATAGTATAAAGGTCTCTGTCCATGTGTTGTTTGATTATAGATCAGGTCTAGGTTCTATATTAATACTGTGAAAGTATCAAAGCCTCAGTCCACAGAGAAATGCACACAGCCTGTATTCAGAAACTGAGTCTTAAAACCAGCCGTCAGGACTTCTGGAACTTTGTGATGTCACAACAAAGCTGTCACCGTGCTCAGCCACACCCCAAGCCCCACCCACCTGGACTCACCATCCAACTTTGCAGGATTTAGTTTCTCTGAGTGTTTACAAGAAATCTGCTATTATTGGATCACTTAAAAAACAGTCAGCCAATCACCTTTAAATAAACTCTCCTAACTTTAGTCTAAGGATAACTAATCTTGTCCTAGCCCTTAACTTCAAACTTAAGATAGGATGTTTCTGTTATATGGATCAGACTGGATTTCACTTCCCATTCACTGCTATGTGGAGGAGGACACATACAACACATTTGTGTTGCAAATTGTGTTCTCTGATGTTCATCATCTGAGACAGAGCAGTTAGAAATGACCTGTCATTCTTTCTTGTTCTACACAGTGAAATCAGGCAGCAGGAGAACGAGGAAGGTCATTTTACTTTAGAGATTAATCACAGTAAATGTTTGTTAAAACTTTGTGGGCCACTGCTGCTGCTGCTTCTGTCAGCCAGCTTGCTAATGCTTGCTCCCACAGTTTAAAACCCCACCCATGCCATTTCCTGCCCCCTGTGCTTTTTGCAGAACCATAATGGTAAACTTTATCAGGTGATATCTGGTCTATCTGCAGTTTAAGGCTGAAGGAGATAGGCAGTCAGGACAGATGTCAGCATGACACAGAGGTGATGGTCGGGGACTTGGTCCTAAACAGATTTGAGCTGCTCTTCCACAGCAGTTGTGTGCTGTCTCTGCATGTATCACAAAAGGAGCACATCTGTCAGAGTTTGGCCCATGAAAGACAGTACATGTCTGAAGATGACAGCTGCTCACCGAGGTGACACTTAACTGCTGCTGTTGAATCAGTCAGGAGTTATATATTAAAGACTATTTGATTATTGGGGGACAATTATATTTGTAACTGTCCTTTTAAAGACAATAACAAGTCTTGGTCTCAGCCTTAAATGGTTGATCAAACCTTCCCGAATTTGTCAATGCCATGATGACATATCCTGTTATTGACAGACTACTGTCAGAAATTAATGCATTTTGCACAGGAGGCATTGCTAAAGCCTGCTCTCTGAAATTATTGAGCAACAACATGCAGGAAGTTAGATGAGTAAGATAAAATAAAAGGAGGCGTGTCTAAATTTCAAGAAATCCAACAGAATAGCCCACTTCCAGATAATGGGTTATTCTGAGTGAGGAATCATATTTGCTTGTCGTGAATCAGTTCATGTCTTTGCATAAAAGGAGAAAAACATAATTAACAATGTCATCCATAATGTCATTAAGTCCCATGTGTGGCCAGCCTTGGGCCACAAACGGGACTATAACAGAACCAGCACCACAGGTCATAGATGAGCCGAGCTGATGACATCATCTGAGACTTTATGGTCACTACACATGAATATAGATCATCCTGGTGGCCTTAGAGCTGTCAGTCATCAGACAGAGAGGAAGTGATGCCCCCTACAGGCTTCACTGTGGATCTTGCTGAGTGTATGATGATGAATTATCTTGTTTGAAGACAGATTGTGTAGACAGTGTAAAGGGACCAGTGCGGCCGCTGGCTTTGCCCCTGAATATGTATTGTAGAGTTATTGATGACATTGTTCTTCTCTTCAGGAACAGCCAGAATGATTTTAAGGTTTTTAAGTTTTATAATTATCTTAATAACCCTAAAAAGAATATTAAATAAATCATCTACTGAATACTAGGTAATTGACTATAGATTACAAAGTACACTATTTATAAAACCTACTGATCCTAATTTTCTGTTGCACTATGGATCCTTTCACCCCCACCGCCTCAAAAATAATATCCCATATGGCGGATTTTAAAGGTTGGGCAGGATCTGCCGCATGGACTCTGGATCTTCATACACAGTCTCAACATATGACAAAAAGGTTTTTTAGACACATCATATAATAATAAGACTGCGATCTCCACCGCTCAGATTAAAACAGCTTCCACTGAACGTCACCACGTTTCAGCAAATCGGGAAGATTATTGTATCCGACTGGGATATCCTCAGAAGCGACCCCTCCCCGAAAGAAAAACTTCCTCCCACCTTCGGATATACGTGGGGCCCCCATCATTAAGGACAGACTCACCACACAGTCATTTTCCAGTTAGAGAGGATGGCCACTGGCTCCAGAGACCTGTTGGCACTTTCAAATGTATTTAAACCACATGTAATCCATACAAACCATACAACAGAGGGAATTTGAAGATTTAAAGAAGAGAGAGATGCATCAAATGCTTTTGCATGTGAATTCTCTTGAGGCACTTGGTGTTTGAGCGACAGAGTGGCAGAACACAAACAGAGCACCGTGCATTCACCCTGGAGTTTACTACGTCATAACCGTGAGCAAAGAGTTTCCTCATAGTTATTGTAAAGAAAATCCGCCTTTTGGAGTGGTCCAGTCAGAGTCCAGACCTTAGTCCAGCAGAGACGCTATGGAGGGACACTGAAGAGAGACACTGACACCAGACTTCCTGAGCATGTGTCTGAGCTGTGCAGCGCCGTAGGAAGAATGATGGCGACAGACTGAGAGAGGTAGAAGTATCTGTGAAAGAGCAGAGGATTAAAGCTCTGTGAGGGTTCACAGCACAGATACAAGGTTGTGTGAAATAAGAGGATGTGTCTGCATGTGCGGAATGTGTGTGTGTGTGTGCATGTGCATCCGTGTGTACGTGTGTGTTTGTGTCTTCTGGCTGAGGAGGACTTTTCATCTGTCCTGACAAGCTGTCAAGAATAAATAACCTGCAGCAGATCCCATGGTTCAGATTTACACTACACTGCAGTCAACACACACACACACACACACACACACACACACACACACACACAAAAACACAAAAACTTTGAAAAACATTTTCAGGATGAAACACAGATTAAAGGACACGTCTGTATTTTTTTTACCACTGTATTTTCTAGCCACCGACCTCGACACCGCAGTCAGAGAGCATCATGGGAGGAGCAGTGGTGGATGACGCGCCTCCGGGGGTGAAGGCGCCAGATGGAGGCTGGGGTTGGGCCGTGCTGGTTGGCTGCTTCGTCATCACCGGCTTCTCCTACGCCTTCCCCAAGGCCGTCAGCGTCTTCTTCAAGGAGCTGATCCGAGAGTTCGGCGTGGGCTACAGCGACACGGCCTGGATCTCCTCCATCCTGCTGGCCATGCTGTACGGCACAGGTACAGGAGGACAACATGTATGTCTGACAGTGATTACTGTAAACTACACGTGTACACTGTGTACTCATTGTGTTTTCCCAGGTCCTCTGTGCAGCGTGGCGGTGAACAGGTTCGGCTGTCGGCCGGTGATGATGGTTGGGGGGCTCTTTGCGTCACTGGGAATGATTCTGGCCTCTTTTGCCACCAGCATCATTCACATCTACCTCTGCGCTGGAGTTATTACAGGTTGAGTCACAATATACATGTACACATATAATAATAATAGTAATAATAATAATAAAAATCTTTAGTTGTAGAGAACTTTTTAAAATCTACAGCAATAAAATATAATCAATAAAATCAACAGATTTCAAAGAGAAGAAAAACATATAAGTTTCAGGCTACATCCCTGTTTATTCAGTCACATAAAATATGAACCATTTGTGTGAAATCTTGTCATAATTTCTTGGCCTTTGACCTTTAGCCACCAAAGTCTAGAGAGAGTCCAAGGAGAGCTTTAAAAGTCTCTCAATAAAATCTTAGAATCTATTCTAAAACGAACTGGGAGNAGCGAAGTCTTGAATAATGGCTAGAAAGTGATTTGTGACATCACACTGACCTTGGCCTTTGACCTTTAGCCACCAAAGTCTTGAGAGAGTCCAAGGAGAGCTTTAAAAGTCTTCAATAAAATCTTAGAATCTATTCTAAAACGAACTGGGAGCCAGTGTGGAGAGGTTCAATCAGGAGTGATGTGGTCATGTCTCTTGGTTCTGGTTAAAAAGCCTGGCAGCAGAGTTCTGTACAGTCTGGAGACGATCCAAAGATTTGTGGTTGAGACACGTAAACAGATTGTTGCAGTGGAAAATAGTCTCTGTGTCTTTAAAAGTTAAAAAAGATTGTATTTTAGAAATATTTCTAGGATGATAAAAACATGATTGTATACAACACGTCTGTATAAATACTATATATAAAGCAATGCACAATAAGTTTTTTAGCGTGTGTTGCTCAGTGAGTCTTCTCTCCCCTCAGGTCTGGGTCTGGCGTTGAACTTCCAGCCGTCCCTGATCATGCTCAACCGCTACTTCAGCGAGAAACGTCCTCTAGCCAATGGCCTGGCAGCCGCCGGCAGCCCCGTGGCGCTGTGCTGTCTCTCCCCGCTGGGACAGATCCTCCAGTACCACTACGGCTGGAGGGGGGGGTTCCTCATACTGGGAGGCATGTTGCTCAACTGCTGCGCCTGTGGTGCCCTCATGAGGCCCCTGCTGCCCCCGAAGAAGCCCCTGGAGCTGGAGGAGAGCGGTCACGCGGTGGCGGAGGAGGAGAAGAAGAAGAAGCCGCAGCCAAAGAAGAAGCTGTTGGACTTCAGCGTGTTCAGGGACAGAGGTTTTGTCATCTATACCATCGCAGCGTCTATTATGGTGCTGGGCTTGTTCGTGCCCCCGGTGTTTGTGGTCAGCTATGCTAAACACCTCCAGTATGAGGACACTAAGTCGGCGCTGCTGCTCACCATCTTGGGGTTTGTTGACATGTTCGCTCGGCCTCTGTCGGGACTCATAGCGGGCACGAAGTGGGTACGACCCAGAGCCGTCTACCTGTTCAGCTTCGCCATGATCTTCAACGGGTGCACCGACCTCATAGGATCGCAGGTAATGATGAGGAGAATGGAGAGGAACACGTCCGTGGGCCAAAAAAACACCAAACCCTGTATAGAGGATTTGCAACTGCATCACAAATTTACTAGAAACCATGAATGTTGCCATCATACAGGTCCAGGAACTAAGACCTGCCTGGAGACAACAGGATTATTATGAACTTCAGTAGATCAGGTCATTAACATGAGTGGTTACTGTAGATTAGACTGATATTATCACTGTACGTATGATCAACAAGGCCTGTTTCATCAGCAGTGTCTCTCTCTCTATAAACCTGATGTCGTATTCATCTTGTCCGTGTCCTTGCAGGCGACCGATTACGTAGGTCTGGTGGTCTTCTGCATCTTCTTCGGCATGTCGTACGGCATGGTGGGGGCGCTGCAGTTCGAGGTCCTCATGGCTATCGTGGGGACAGAGAAGTTCTCCAGCGCCATCGGCCTGGTGCTGCTTATGGAGGCTATCGCTGTGCTGGTGGGACCTCCGGGAGCAGGTAGGAGCACGGAGGGAATGAACGTGAATGTGAATGCAGATTGGATGAAGATTGGATTGGATTTTGGCCATTTTGCGTCTACATAGTGATACAGATAAGATGACAGAAAACAGCGGACAGAGAGATGCAACATGGCTGCATTTGAACTTGGGTTGTTGCGGTTCATGGTCACAGTCTGAAACCCCTTAGCCACGGGGATGCACAACAGCATACACTTAATACGGTTGTGCCAGTATAAATAAATGGTTTAACAACAGTGTTTGTGCTGCAAATCACATTTACATGTTTATGTCAGGTCATTCAGATAATTAACAACAAGTTAACACAATAATTGTAACCGGTCGAAATGAGACTGTTGTGTTACATCATGATGGACTAAAGCAACAAAAACTAAAACAACCCTACATTTGTAATAAAGGAAGCCTTGTTAGTATACAGCAGCAGCAGTATCCATCTTTTACAGATGGAGATCTTGATGTGTAGCCACTCAAACCACTTTAAACTACAGCTAATGAAGAGACCACAACTGCAGCTTTGTAAAAGTGTGGGCACAAATGACCAAAGAAAGACCGATTCACTAATGTCACTGATGCGGTTACTTCCCAGTGTTCTCCTTGCATTAATAGAGTGCTATAAATAATAACATTGCAGTCAAACGAGTTTATCTGATCTATGTTGTTGGTAAAAGGGAGGGATTTAAGCCTTCTAGGAAGGAGACCTGCCTAATCATGAACCGCTTTATCATCATGTTAAGCTGAGCTCACCAACAGTTGAAGGTTAGGCAAGGAGACGTTTACTAGTTCTCTCAGCTTAGGAATTTAGAGAACCTAATTCTTTAAAGTTTCTTATTCCAAATATAATGAGAAATAAAAGAATTCAGAGACTTAAAAATGCTGGGGTTAAATAGCACGGGAGATTATGAAATAAATAATTTAATATGGTTGGTTTTTATAATGTAGATTCTCCCCAAGAAGGAAGTAGCAAAGGAAGTTCGCTTCTTCAGGTCATTTTTAAGTTTGAGTTTAGTTCAAAGAGAATAAATAGTCTCAAATAGGTTATTTAGATCAGGAGTGACAAAAATATCAAAGTATCTTAGACCCCTCTCTCACACCTGAAGTGTAGGTTGTACTGGCCTATCCCAGAGGGACATTAAAGGGCAAGACAACAGATTTCCCTAAATTAATTTGATAGCCAGATTAAGCTCTAAACTGGGTTATAAAATTTAGAACTACTGGAATTCATTTTTCAGGATTTCTAACGTACAACAGAACCTCATGTGCGAATAGTCGAATAGAGGAATAATGTGATTTTCTTCACCCTCTGTGACCCCATCTATGTCGGGATTAGTCCTGATGACCTCAGGCGAGGGCTCCATGAATAATGTATACAGTAATGGTGACAAAAAGGGCCCCCTGTCTGCAACCTGTAAGCACAGGAAAACCCTCAGACATCAGGCCGTTAGTGTTGACTCTTCTCTATTGGATCTGAGTAAAGAGTTTTAATCATGTTACTAAGACCAGAGCCCAGACCAAAGACTCCACTCGGTCAAAAGTCTTTTCAGCATCCAAAGAAATGATCAATGCTTTATGAGTCCAGCTTGATGAGAACCAACAACAATCATACTAATGTTCTTGTTTCTTCCACCAGGTCGCCTCTTGGATGCCACCCATAATTACATGTACGTCTTCCTGTTGGCGGGCTGCGAGGTCACGCTGTCAGCCATCGTTTTGGCCTTGGGTAACTTCTTTTGCATTAGAAAGAAACAGGAGGATCAGGAGGCGAAGATGGAGATGGCTGTGACGGCTTCAGAGAAGGAGGGGCTGAACCGAGCGGTGGAAGCCGAGGATGATGAAGAGGAGCTGAGGGAAAGAGAGAATGGAAAAGTGAAAGCAGGAGAGGAGGTGATGACGGTGAAGGAGACGGGGGAGGGAGGAGATGAGACGCAGTTATAAAGGATGAGAACTAGAGATGAGAAAAGACAAACTGTGCACCAAGAGCACAAGAATAAAACGCACTGATGATGATGATGATGATGATGATGATGATGATGGCTAACAGGTGGTGTAAGGAGCCACATAGGCAGTGAGGGGGAACAAAGCAGGGTAAGAGAGCTGATGTTGCCCTGTAAATGAAAATCACAGGTCCACATCATGGGTACAAGACAGAGAGGGGTCATTGTTAAGAACTGGTTTCACCTGAACTGGTTCACCAGATGCTTTACACAGCTGTTACCTTATACTGTATATGCTGCAAATACAGTAGTCCCTTTATTAAGACAACTCCTCTGTGCTGAGTCTACTCAGACACACACTGTATTTTAGAACAAAGTAATGGGTTTCCAGTTTTGTTCACATTTCTCAGCAATGTTTTTCTCATTCAAGGTTTAATGATTTTAAAGAACCTGACCAAAAAAAAAAAAAAAAAAAGTCCACTTAACGCATTTTTCTGGAGCTTTCAGTCATATCTCACAGCCTTCATCAGCACATGGAGCTTTTTCAAATCTATGTGGTGGATCTCCTTTTTCCTCCATATACGACCACTTGTTACCACATGACTCAAGTTCCATGCTTTTGTCTCGTGATGACAACTTCTTTTCACTAATGAAGACTGTGAGATGCAGCTGAAAGCTCTGGAAGTAAGTAAGTGAGCTGTGTTGAGATTATATGGTCAGACTGTTGCTCTCCGGCTGAAGAACGCACCTTTCACACTCAACTCTCAAACACTGTATTTCCTTGTTTGTTGCACTTGTGTTTTATTTATTGAGAGTATTTATCAGATTTTTATCACATTCAAAATCTGGTTGTAAAAATGAAGAATTTAATATTTTGGGCCACTTGATGACGGCAGCTGAATGGCAAACTGTAGCTGTTCACTCATGGATGAAATTGAAAAGGTTTTGTCGTGTCTTCCATTATTTGTGTGTTCTGCTTCCAGATGTCATCCAGTTGTTGCCAGATGAATTTGTGATACTTGAACAAACTTGGATTGTGAGTCTCAGTGTGATACGTCAGTGTTGTTCACTTGGTTGATGAATGTATGTTCTATGTTGTGTGTACTGTTCTGTAAAGATCGGCTTTAGTGATACTGAACACCGGTGCCTCCTGTATTATGTTGTGATATGAAACCAGAGGACTGTACTGTGAAGCAGGTTCAACACACCCAGGATAACTTTTCCTTCTCTGGCTTAACTGAACCTGACATCGAATGTCCTGATAACCTGAAGCTGGTTATCGACCTGTCCGGTTACGAGCGGGTTCATATGAAAGAGGAAGAGTTTTCAATTATAAGCAACATCACCAGAGCCATGAATAAAATACTTCATATTAGAAGAAACACTGATACCTGCAGGTAAAATTCAGTTATAGCGACGTCCAAAAGTGACATTCAACCAGGTGAAATGTAAACAATATGATCACATGACTAGAATAAAGCAGGAACACTAGAAATCATTTCCAATTGTTAAAGTCAGATTAAGGATACATGAAATATTACACTTCAAAGTATTCTTTCTCTTCAGTCTGATAACGAACACACTGTTCTGAACATGTGAAGCAGATAAAGCAGTTAAAGTTAATGTCAGACTGTTTCTGCTGCAGAGAGGAGAGAGAGAAAAGAGGAGAGAAGTAGATGATGTCTGATGAGTCAGACTGACTGAAATGTTCATTTATAATGATGGAAGTATTGATCAGAGTGTGGGTCATTGTTGGTTTAGTGTTCCTTTCTTGTCATGTTATTCTGAGCTGCAGTGATGAAGAGGAGAGTAAAAGCTTCATCAGTCAGGAATCCTGCCGCATTAAAGAATCTGTGTTCAGGTCAAATTAAGCTCGAATAGTCATTATTTAGTTATTTAGTGATAAACTCTCCTGTTTGTTAGAAGCTGATGATGACTCAGTTTTCCCAGGTATCTGATTTTTCAGTAGTTTGGCTGTCGACAGGTTTGTGATCTGATCCTTGAAAGTTAACCTGCTCCAGAGTAGGTTAGGAGTTCAGCATCAGTTACCATAGTGATTTAGTCCGGTAACAAGCTAACAATTGTCGTAGGACTGAAAACCCAGACTTAAACCTGAAGTTACCTTGATAACTTCAAATCCCACTTTAGAGTAGAGGCCTCAGATGCTGTGATACGCATGCTCCTGTGTATCTGTATCTGGATATAGTGTTCAACACACCACCACTAAGAAGCACCCACAACTTGCTTGGGTGAAGAAATGTACCAGACACACACACACTCTCTCACACACACACACACACACCTGCACTGACCCAGCTTTGTTTCTGAGGGATGGCCGTTTTCACAAAGATTTTCAGTGGAGAAAGAACTCAGATAATTAGCTTAACTGCACTTTCTGACTGGACTGAATTCCTCAGATGATCAGAGTCCCACCTGCTGTGTAATTGCATATGTGCAAAGGTCTTCTATATTTGTTGCAGCCTTAAAAGTTCTCCTGTTACACCCCCTGTTGGTCTCTGAGACAAACTGATTCATTCACAGCAACTATAAAGTCGTGACACCACAAGGTACAAGTAATTCATTTATTTACAGTGTAAGTACACAAACAAATATAAATGAGAAAGTAAATCTTGCTGATCTGGTCGCTTACATAATTCAACAGGTGTAGAGTGGCTGACCGAAGGGATCGAGGATCAAAAATCAAAAACTACAGACTGAGCAGCAGCGAGAATGAATTACGACGGGCCGATCTGACAGATGTGACAGAGGTGTTCGTCACAGCCGAGGAGCGTCACACGAGTCGAGCCGAATATAAAAACCCCCCCAGGACGCTGCTGCTGGAGAAGCCTGTGGGAGGATGAAGGTCAGCTCTCCTCTCCACGTTCTCCATGGAGAATAATTTCAGTAATTGTTTATTTAAGGGGATTCACAATGCCCATGGAAATGCCGCAGTTTGCAACACTGGTGCAGGATCACTGAGCCTCTCACAGCGAGAGCAGTGGCTGTGTTCAGAGCCGTCCTCACAGGTCAGTGAAAACAAAGACATGAGAAATCATTTACACGCCAGTATTACAAGTACTTCACAGCTTCAAAATAATACAAATAAGAAAAATGAGAATGTTTATCTGTACACAGCGAGTGGAGATCTAGTGTAATACGTCAGATGACGCCCTCGCCCCCTACAGTTATGTATAGAGCACTAGAAAAGGGAGCAGGGCTTTACTGGACAGTACACCAGAGCCTGGAAGGTGAACAGACAACATCTTGCCAACTAATGGGTGAATACACAACCTCCTGCAACCAATATACCAAAGCATATTTTTGGTATGTTCATGGGATCAACTAGCACTCAAGCCTCCACATCTGACTCTGAAGGCTTTACCTCTAAACATGCAAAGAAGTAGTTTCTTTTTATTTAATACAAATGGCTATAGAGTTACTGAAGAGAGCCGTCAGTGGTGGGAATTATTAAAAACGGGGAAAGTGGTTGGTAGGAGGGAAAGAATGAAAACTGCAAATACCAATGAAAAGCATCACACGCCGAAAACTACCCATACATATATAAAATGAAGAGCTGCTGGTTCAGCTTGATACACCGTACTGCAAAAAAGAGAGAAGAGCTGTTTCTGATCAGGTATGAACTAGCAATCATTGACAATGGAAATGTAGGGTTTAAAAAAAAAAAAAAAAAAAAAAAAAAAAAAAGAAGAAGGAGAAGAAGAAGAAGAAGAAGAAGAATTACTCTCCCACAGAAGGAGGAGGAGAAGCCAGTGGCGCTAACTGTTGTATCATCAGTCTGTGTCCTAGAAAAGACGCGGGGTTACCATGTTTTCCCTGGACAAACCACTGCCCATTCAGAATCTGGTGGTAGAGGTGGAGGTGGGGGCAGTGCAGAGGATTGTGCAAATGTCTCCTGAAAAAGTGGACAGACCAGTCCTGAGGTCCAACATGCTTTAATGTTTTCCAAGGTCAGACCAACACACAGAAAGGGGAGGAGAATGGGGGAGACGGAGGGGGCGTGGGAGATTCTGAAGGAGGCAACGGTACTGAGAGCTGTCAGTCAAAGCAGTTTGTGCTGAGTCAGAAGCTGGCTTCCAATGGTAACTGTAGTAGAAGTAATTAATAGTGGTGGTGGTGGTGGTAGTATTAGTATGTCAGATAGCTTCTGAGTGAACAGGGCTTGGTCTGCCAGGTTGCATTGTGGGGGGGCTCATCGAGGAGCTAGAAGATGGAGACCAGCAGGCAGCGCACCGGACACCATCTGGAGGAAACACAGGACAGGAAGCAGGGAGGTCAAAAAAAAGCAACAACCCCATACCTCATCTACATCACTGGGTGCATTGAGCTTCACATGCATGCTTCCCTGCACTGTCACTGCTTCTGCATAAACATGTACAGACATAGAGCCCTTTTATTTGTCTACAGGCATTTACAAGCCACCAAAAACACATTATTCATGTTCACCCCATAAGCTACATTATCAAAAAAACTACACTATTTCTAAACTGTGGAAACACCTGCATGGTTGTAACTAGAGATGGCTGATTGCTCCCAATATTTGACTTTGGATAGATTCATACCACTTGATATACAAAGTACTTTAAAAATGCTACAAAGGGAACAAGCTGTCAGAAGGCTTTCAGCATCAGGCAGGAAATAAGCAAGGATGTGTAAAATTATAAAACTGAATAAAGGAAGTCAAAGAGTACAATGATTAGTGGCAGAGCTGTGAAGCAGCTGCAGGCACATGATAAACATGGAGTAGCGATTTAGCCAGTGATGGGGTAACCACTCATACTGCAGAACAGCAAAGACGGCGGTTCAGAAACCGCTGTGGTTCCTACAGTTCGACTGATGTTTGATGAAGCCAATCCCAAGTACATTAACATTACCACTGTTCAAGTCAGCTAGTCTTAACAATAACAAAGCTGTAAGCAAAACTTCAAGATAATCTGAAAACAATACTGACATGTCACAGGTTGACGGAAATACTGGCAGCTGTTATTATTCCTCTATTCAGTTACTGGCTGTGAAGAAATCCTGTGCAGAGTGACTGGAAGTGAATGAGATCATGAGTTCGATTCTTAGGTTCAGCTGAAGCCACCATTAGCTCTTTTCCACAACAGAATCTTAGTAACCCAGAATCTGTAAGAACCCAAAAAGTCCAGGTTCTACATTCTGCCCTGTTTGTGCAGTGTGGGGAAGTACGTTTAAGTATATTTAAAAGTAACAGTGAGGTAATGTTGGTATTTTCAAATTCATGCAACATTTGCAACATTAGTGCATTTCCTGCATAACTGATTGTTGCGTTTGCCATTTTGCTAACCAGCAGTTTACAGCATTTGTTCCCACATACCTGGACCATGAATTTAGTAGCACGTCCAGGGCAGTGAAATTCTGGTTCCACAACTCACTCCTAAGTACAGTAGAAACCAAAATGTGACACTGGCTACATCTTAAGTTATGGGTTGTTAAGTTCCTGTGGTGTAAAACACCTATATGAAGCTTCAGCGTTCTGGGTTTTACTTATCAGCTGGGTATCTTTGTCCTAGTAGTTGTGAGTCAGCTTATTGCCAGTGTTTTGTTCCAGCAACAAACCCACAGTAAATGCAACTAGCAGAATGTAAACCTCTGCAGCACAGCAAAGAAAACCCAATCTGTGCAAACACACTGAATTTTTGAGAGAATCCTGTTATCAAAAGACATAGAACATGGACTGATTAGACTGATTTTAGACTGACTTTATTTCCCCCCCTCTAAAAGCCCTCCCTGTCTGAACTGATGACATGCTCTCAGCCACAGCCATAAGAAAGCTCAATGCTGACTTGCAAACAAGTAACTTCATATCATGCAAGTGTTTAGTGTGGAAGACCAGAGGCAGGAGTCTGAGGGTGAAGTAACACGGGAACTGCATCAAGCAAGGTTGGAGGTGTGGGTGGAGGTAAGGGTGGGTGAAATTCCTTTGGGTGCTACAGCTGACGGCCCACCATCTGATCAATGTGGCCTCAGGCATCAAACCAACACTGCAAGCAACAAGCCACAGGCGCAGAGCTGATTAAAGGGGCACCATGTCACCCTGAGTAGGCAATGAGGGAGTTACATTCTTAGGCTCTGATGCACTGCAATGCATTATCCACT